TATTGTCCATAGTACTAGTGTTACGTGTCGCATGTCATACTATACGGCACTTATTTAAATGTTGAGGAACTAAAGATAAGCCAGCCAAAAAGGAGCTCGATGTTTGGGTGTCACACGAACTAACGCAAAGAACATGATGGACCGAATTTCCATCTGCAAATCGCTGCATAATCGCAACAAAATCGACCAGTTTCTGAAGCGGATAGTGACTGGCGAACAATGGGTCACTTATGACAACATCGAGCGCAAACAGTCGTGGTCAAAGCTCGGGGAAGCGGCCCAGATGGTGGCCAAGACCTGATTGACGGCCAGGAAGGTTTTGCTGTGTGTTTGGTGGGATGGGCAAGGAATCATCTACTGCGAGCTGCTCCCCTATGGCCAAACGCTCAATTCGGCCCTCTACAGTCAACAATTGGACCGCTTGAAGGCAGCACTCATCCAGAAGAGGCCATCTTTGATCAACAGAGGCCGAATTGTGTTCCATCAGGACAACGCCAGGCCACACACGTCTTTAGTGACTCGCCAGAAGCTCCTGGAGCTCGGATGGGAGGTTCTAATGTACCCATCTTATAGTCCGGAAATGGCACCAAGTGATTTCCATCTTTTCCTGTCCATGGCGAACGCGCTTAATGGTGAGAAGTTGGCCTCAAGAGAGGCCTGTGAAAATTGCCTCACCGAGTTTTTTGGCAATAGGGACGCAGTCTTCTACGAGAGGGGTATAATGAAGTTGGCATCTCGTTGGCAACAAGTTTACAAACAAAACAGCGCATATTTGACTTAAATCGGACAAATGTACACAAAGTTGTCATCCTTCGAAAAATCAATAAAAAACCAAACGAACTTTTTACTTTACCTAATATTTATGGTATGTACTAAGTATTCAATTTACAAAATTAATTAATTATATATTTATAACACATTATTATAATATTACAAAATACAAACTAATTGCAAAAAATTCCTACTGGGAACGCATACATACAATGTTCAATTGATACAATTACGCTCGCACTTATGCACACCACCCAGTCAAACCAAAAGCTTCATACCCGTAATCCATCCACATACACATACAGTTAGGTATGAACTAATGTACATACATACACACGTACATACCCCGCACTGTAGGCGAACATATTGCGCACCGCACTTCAGCTACAGACTTCGGGCTAGATTTTGCACACGGCACCTCGTAACTCCTACAGACGAGCCCCGATTCGAGAGTTTTGATGTGTATAAAACCGAGAGGAGCAACAACGAGTCGATCAGTGTAACAACATTTGGCGTTTACAAAGCTAAACTTGAGTGATTAACAAAATAGAGTGACTAGCTGATATTAGCTAAAAGATTCAAATTTTTTTTCAAGTGTAGAAAAAGTATAAACAAATTAAATCAACAAGAATGCCTTGCCCATGTGGAAGCGGTAAGTGAACATTAAAACAGATAACGCTTTAATTATTGCAACTTTTTCATTTCACATTTTCTAATTTGCTTTTCAACAACATTTTTGTTTATTATTTGCTTTTTAACGCGCTTTTCTTTACATTAGGTTGCAAATGCGGTTCGGAGCCTAAGACTGGCAATTGCGGTTGCGGTTCGGCGTGCAAGTGCTGTCCCTGTGGAAGCGGTAAGTGACCCATAGCATTTTGGAAAAGATCATAAATCAATTAAATGAGAAACTTTTTATAATGTAAATATAATTCTTTTACTTTTAGCTTGCAAATGCGGTTCACAATCACAAAGTGGCAGCTGCGGTTGCGGTTCGAGCTGCAAATGTGGCCAATAGAGCAATACATATATCCCATAACATTCACTGAAATAGGCGTACTTTATTATGTTACATACATACATAAGTATTTTTAATTTATTTTTATAAGTTAATCGCGTAATAATATACCTACTTTCATAGAATCAGAAACAGTTGCTTATGCATACATTAATGTAAAGCTAGTGGGATTGATACCAAAAAAGGCTATCACATTTCTCATCAATAAATAACAGAAAGAAAACTAATTCTTCAAATTCTTCTCTCTTTCTTTCTTTCTCTACATACACTATGGTTTCGGTAGTATTCGGGCAATGAGAGTTGATAGTGGATTATTGCTCAATTCTCGAACTTACTTGGTGAAAACCAGTGCGTATACAAATGATTCCAAAGATATAAGTACATTGTATGACAATATTTGTTGCGACATACAAAATGTACAAATGTATTTGATGTTTTTATTTTTCAAAAACCGTTATTTTTATAATTTAGCTACACCATTTCCTCAAGGGGTTAAGTTAAAATTCCGAAAAACTTTAAAATTTATTGATCCAAAAATTTATACACATATTATCCTATCTTTTAACTACATTTTAAGACTTAGTGGTAATCGATAAAAATCGATTTTTCACGAAATTTCGGCCTTAAATTGTTTATAAAAACCAAAATTTTTATCGGATAGAAAAAATCTTCGATTACGTACTAAAAAATATAATTGAGGAGGTCGTGTTAATATTTAAGTACTCACTCCGTTTTCGAGTAATGTTGGTCACCAACTTTGAAAATACCATTCAGAGAAAAACGCGTTTAAAGTTTGAAATGCACTTTACATTTGATAAGAAACGAATTTTCAAATTTGCGTGTAACCTCGAAAATATTCACCGGAAAGATATGAAATTTTCTGTGTGTATTCTTAAATAAATGGACATTAAAAAAAATCGATTTTTTGAAAATTCTAACCGTAAGTAACCCCAGCACAGGCTTCGATCAGCTCTCCCAACCGAGCCTGACAGGGATTCGATCCTATCTGCGGACGCGATTGAGGAGCTCGTCGAGGTTTTCAGCTCTGTCAGCAGATCTGCTCTTGAAAGCTCCTGTCCTCTGAAAACTCAGAAAAGTAGGGGGAAACCCCCTTGGTGGACTTCGGAGCTAACGGAGATCAGATCTTCGAGTAGACGACTCTTCAATAAAGCCCGTAAAAGTGGCTCTAGCGACGACTGGGCGTTGTACAAGGCCGGNGCGCCGCAGCCACAATTACCGCTCTTAGGCTGAGTGCCACATTGACATCCTGCCAATAAAAAATAATTATTAACTAAAACGTGCAATTTTCAGACAAAATGTTTTTTTTTACATAAAAAGTAGCCTTAAAGGACTATTAAGGGGCCTTAATATGTATGAATTTATATGTATTTAGATTGAGTACACTTACCGGTTCCACATGGGCAAGGCATGTTTGCTTCTTTCTTATTTGTTAGAAATTAGAAATTTGAGAATGTTTTTTATTGTTATTGTAGGTTTAACACTTTGAAAGCAGACGTTATAACCTCAGATGAAGACTGTTGTTGTGGTTAACTAATGTTTCTATTATATAGTCTAAAGTAAAGATTATTGTCTAACAGTCACATATTAAATACATATGTATGTACATACCTATATATTTTGTTGGTGTTGCGCGCATTGGTTAAGAGCTATGAAAATTCTTGGTACCGTGTGCAAAAGATTTTATGAGGCCTCTTCGCTTGACCCAAAGTGTGCCCTCTTTACGATCTTTACAAACATATATCATATAATAATGCAATTGTTCATATGTATTTGTGTTATTGCCACTTTAAGTGAACTGACCCAGTAGGAACTATATAACTGATGGGGAACAAGCCAAGTTGACTTTTATTTTCAGAACACAGAATATTAGTAATGAAAGTGACATATGTAAACCATATGAAATATTATAAAAAGAAAACATAATCTAAAAAATCTTAATCTATATATAACATGCTTGTCAAGTACGCATGTTTTGAGATTTACTTAAATTTTAAGCAAAAGACGGACTTGACAAATATAACCTCTTTACCTAAAAATAAGCTATAATTGTTTATAAAAATAATTCAATATTAACAAAGTCGCACTCAATTTACTGTAAACTACAATTTAAATTTCAAGAGCATACGTTCTATAGTCTCCGAATACCTTCGCTGTCATATTTTTCATTCCAAGAATGACGCGTTCCACATTTTAGGTGCTGAAGCTGTCTGTCTCGAACATGGCTGGGAGAATTTTTTTAAGTACTCAATATACAATAATAATTAATTAAAAACAAAAAATTCCTACTGGGAACGCATACATATAATGTTCAATTGATACAATTACGCTCCCACTTGTGCACACCACCCAGTCAAACCAAAAGTTTCATACCCGTAATCCATCCACATACACATACAGTTAGGTATGAACTCGACCCAATTTTTCAATTTTTGCAATACCACATACACTAAATGTACCCACACTAACCAATGCTCCAGAGTTTCATTAAGGTACCCAATACCATCACCAATCATATGGGTAAAGTCAGCCGAATGCTCGAAAATCCCTTGCCTATTAGTTATATGGGGCCAGATCAAGTTTTCGCCCAATTTTATTCATTTATGGACAAAGATACACGGTTATGATAAAATACGTTCTCTCATTTTATATGAGATAACTCACATATTGGCCGATATATGCAGTGTGAAGTTCAAAAACTTTATATTAGGTATATGGGGCTAAGGTAAGTATTGACCCGATCAACCCATATTTTGACATTCAGACATTATTATCAGGAAAGGATTCTCTCCGAATTTCAGTTAAATATTTCACACATTGACCAATATTTTTTGGAAAGAAGTCGACTATAACATTGGTTCCACACACATGTACATGGTACCTAGTAGCTTGAACAGGTTTGGTTCGATTGGACAATTTTTGGTCATAAGGTGGCACACTTCAAAGGCACTATTCGTCCAAAGTTTTATCTCGTTATATTAATTGGTGCTTTATTTATATACTGGAATGTGAAAATTCAGATGGATTTAAAATAATGTATAATGGCAAGTAGGCGTGATTGTAGGAATATTACAGAACATGTGTACCAGTATCATCAAGATATCTTAAATTTTTACTCAAGTTTGCAGCTTGCACGGACAGACAGGTACCGAAGTTCAACTCCTCTTGTCATCCTGATCATTTATACATATGTATATACCCCTATATCTATCTCGATTAGTTTTTTAATGATACAAACAACCATTAGGTGAACAAAACCTACTATAATCTGGTAAGCAATGTATAACATTCTGAATTATAAATAAAAATAAATAAAAAAAACTGTCTTCCCGTTACAATTAAGAGCTTAATATATAAGGTATATACATAATATATTGTATTGTCATATAAATGCAATACACAACTAGAGTCAGCTTAATTGAGCAAATATTGTCATAGTGGAACTACTAGATAGTCCATACTTAAGCTCGAATATTGAATGGCTTTCCATTTAAAACTGACCAATATTTATCGCAACATAAGCGACTTTATTGTTATTGTGAAATATTACATTTTTATTGTGACATATTTAGTACAGTGTATTATTACAAATTTAATACAGTGTTCTTTATTGTCCACATTTGCAGCCATTGCCGCAACCACAACTGCCGCTCTGAGTTTGCGAACCACACTTGCAACCTAAAACCACACAAAATAGACATCAACCATTTAATAATTACAACAAACACAAATATGTATATATATATTTTTTAAAGAAAAACACTTGACTTCATTTTTCAAACCAACTGGAAACTGAAACTCACCGCTTCCGCATGGACAGCACTTGCACGCCGCGCCGCAGCCACAATTACCGCTCTTAGGCTGAGTGCCACATTGACAACCTACCAATCAAAAATAATTATTAACTAAAACGTGCAATTTTCAGATAAAATGTTTTTTTTTACATAAAAAGTAGCCTTAAAGAACTATTAAGGGACCTAAATATGTATGAATTTATATGTATTTAGATTGAGTACACTTACCGGTTCCACATGGGCAAGGCATGTTGTATTAATATTTTGCTTCTTTCTTATTTCTTTGAAATTAGAAATTTGAGAATGTTTTTATTGTTATTGTAGGTTTAACACTTTGAAAGCAGACGTAATAAAAAGCAATTATAGGATTATTGTCCAAAGGCTACCTATATGTATGTACATAAGTATATATATTTTGTTAGAGTTGCGCGCAAAACTAGATCGTTGGTTAAGTGCTATGAAAATTATTGGTGTCGTGTGCCAAAGATTTTCTGAGGGCTTTTCACACGGCTTGAC